TTTGGAACGATATCATCCTCAGGTCCAACAGGTAACATTATCTACAATATACGTCAATTTTAAAAGGTAATAAATACATAAAACAACAGAATAGTTATGAAAATTTGTCTGAAATTTTACAGTAGAAATTTTAAAAGAAACGATTCAATGCTTATTATCAGATAAAATTTTCTCAAGCAATTTCACAAAATTCTGATTTAATAACTACACCATTTAAAATTAAAACAACCAACTTGCCATAATTTGAAATTACAACAGAATGACGTGTGATTGCTTCGCAAACATTTGTAATTTTTAACCTTGAAGTTTGGCTCTTTTCAATCCCTTGAAATCATCGGGGCTAGCTCGCTATCCGGGCCAGCTCGCCTCCATGAAATCAGACCCTAAGTGTAACTTATGCCCGAACAAGGTGATGACGGAGGAGTGACATCAGGTGTGGGTGGACTCCACCATTTCAATAGTTCGTGAGGTACGGTTGATTCAAATATCGTTTTACACATTGATATGTCTTTTCCCAGACGTCTTCGGAGAACGTGTTGCCAATGGATGTGACAGGATTTTCCAAACAATTAGTACCAGACCTCGCTAACTGCTCGTTATCTAAAGACATGTATTGAATGGGAGCGAGCAAAGCGGGACATCACCAATTAACGAGCAAAGCAGGACATATTGAATGAGCAAGAAAGGCAGGACATGTATTGAATGAACGAACAAAGCAGGACAATCGCTTGTGATTGGTTCTGACACAACGAACAATCCAAAGGCATTTTCAAGCACAAACACGTTGCGTAATTTCAAAACACCTTGTTTGACACACCACTCTAGATGGCCATATTACATATCATCAAGAAAATTTCAGCTTAAAGGAATATCAAAATACTGAGTAAAACATCGATGATAGCAGATTGAGCGTGATTACAAGTTGTTGTCATCCATTCTGATTTCTATAAAAAAGAAACATCCACAAATTTCAAGCAGCACTCAGCTGATGTCTGTTTTATAACGAGGAAATACAACACCTTATACACGGACTTTATTCTATGTAGGCAATACACCCGTAGTTTAAAACTACTCCCTCCGGTTTAAAGGCAAAAGCATTCTTTACAAGATTGGGTAACTTTCTAAACGAGTGTTTCAAAGGAAACTTCCATACTGGTACAAATCGTTTACACAAAATGAAATCGGTGTGAATATAGAATACAAGAGATAAGAATGGATAGAGAATGAAGTAAGAGACTCTAGAATGAAAGGGGATAAAGTGTGAATAAGAAATGAAGATATATAGAGGGATCATTGAACTAAAATACATGGAACGCTACATGGAAGCAAATAATTGAAGCCAAATCTTACATCCAGACACGTGTTGAGTGTTTTGAGTTCTCTCGCGAGTGAAAATTGATTAAGACTACACCCGCATGTCTGGGTGTAAGAATTTGGCTTCAAAAATTACTACGGTTTTCTAATACAGGTAGCGTTCCATGTATTTTAGTTCAATGGATGAATACACAATTGAAATGGATGGTGATTGAAGGAATGAAGGTGGATAGAACATAGAACACGGCAAATGAATATTATTCCGTAATGGAACTGGATAGTCGATGATGTATGTAAGTTGACTTTTTGCGATATAATGTGTGTTTATGGCAATCATAGACAATAAGACCAAAATAACGACATATTATAAATTACGCGTTTGAAACGTGGTCGATTTCAGGAGAATAATGGACCGGAAAATGTTTCTCAGCGAATCAAAGCGCGCCATTTAGCCGGAAGTGACGCTTGCCATATAATAAAACAAAATAATGACAGTTTTCTAACCTCCTGCCAATCTATCTACTGTCTGTCTGGTAGTTTCATGTTGTCGAAAATTCGAAACAAGACTTTAAACACATCACGCACCAATGTTGGGCTTGTGTTCCCGTATGTTTTTCATGATTTCAAATATCACGGTTAGGCCTCTAGTTGATGGATGGAAAATAGCTCACATTCAAATTATACAATGCATACTAATCTATACAATTACAAACAGCTCAATATTTCCACCATACCTTGTTCCTGACATCTAGTTTACATCGGTTGATGATACACAGTTGGAACTGACCAGCCTTTCACACAGATTCTGTCCTGCTCTGATATCCCAGCATTCTCTACTCCGTAAGTCTTTAAGCCTGTTTATATAAGAAAAATGAGACGCCATTGAAAATGCTACACGAAAAGCGATTGAAATAGATAATAAGTTTGATTTGATCCAAAGTGGTTTAGCTTTGATGTGATTTTACCAAAATTTCAAATAAATTTAAAGGTGAAAAGAAATAGATTTGCAATTGTCGTACTACAGATTTTCGGAAGAAAATGTTTCATTATCAGTCTTATTGCTTCCATATGATGTCAGGAAACTTGCGGGTACATGCAATTCCGAGAGACGCGGCGGCATCTTGGAAAGAGTCGATGGTCGCGGAGAAAATATTTCTCAAAGAATCGTGGCTGAAGAGAATGGGGATGTAGAGATTTATGCACTGATAATCTTGTGGGATAAATGAATCTGTCAAAGCTTTGATTTACAAGTGACGTTGAAACAGTAAGAAACAGGGCTAGAAAGTTTAAAACTTTGCCTTTTGACACGTAATTTGCATCTAACTAAAACTGTTTCATACATTTTATTTCATTTCTCCATTAACTCTCGTTTGAAATTATCATTCATGAATCATGAGAAGATAATCCATCGACTTTATGATGATAAAAGTTTACCTTGAAAACTTATACGAATATGGCTGAATTACCATGGAAAGAACAGACACATAAAATTCTTGTTGCAAAATAAACAGAGTTCTCCGTCACATCGAAACACATTTGTAAGCGATATTCAAATTCAATTTGAATTTAATTCAATATTTTACAGATGTCACAAGTCGTTCATGCTTGGAAACGGATTCACCATCATTTCTTCAAACATAATGCAATCATTTTTATTTTAAAATTTTAAAATTTGCACCGATACAAGGTACTCACCCAAAGAGAACAACAGACAGGTCGGCCGTAAGATTAGAGAAAAATCTCCTTCCTTAAACTACAATTTGTTTGAAAAGCGTTACGTTTACTTCATCATGATCGGACGCAGCCAAATAGAAAAACGGAAAACATTTTTCCAACCAGATTTGATGTTTTGCGGCTTTGAATGAACCATTAATGTGACATCATACGACCATATCTAAGGTTTGTGGAAGAACTAAAATGAAAAATCAGTTGTTGATTCAAGCAAATCGTAGACCAAATTTTAGCATCCTTGTTACTTTGAGATTCATAAAGATATTGAAGAAAAGAATTTGGTAAATCTTCCAATTATAGAAGACAAGACAGAGCGATTGATCGAAAGACGTCCTTCTTAAAATTCTTGTCGTAAAATTATAACTTGGAAAAGAATCTACAAAGTCTGCCACAAATTTTGTTATTTGAGAGAGAAAGATTTTTCAAGCTGCAAGAAAATTTACATTTTCTGACAGAATTGACTCCTGCATAAACTTACCTGTTTTTCATTGGTATGTGTTTCGAAGACCGGAGAAAATCCTTTTGAAATCAAATTTGGCAGATTCCCCTTTTCCAAGAACTTCATGGATAATTGTCGCAAGAAAGAACGCAACTTCTTTATTAGAGTTACAACCATTAAAATGACACATGAATTCTAAGATGGAAGTATAGTTGGTAGAACATTGGAGATGAAAGGCATTGATTATATTGTTTTTATGGCTTGAGATATGAAGAAACTAGAACTGTTTAAAATATCATCATAGTTCACAATTGATCATAGTGTGAACTATAGAACTTGTGAAGACAATGATTATCTTGTTACTATACCTGAGTACATCATAACAACGTGATGTTATTAACCATAATATCAAGGTGGTCTTGATCGTTAATAATTGCTACCTTGTTATAATGATCTCCCCAACACAGCCCATATTCGTGACCATTGCACCCGAATACGAACAATATTGTAATAAGCATCTACGATCTTCTGCAGACTAAACATACGTATCATTGTAGGATTAAAGCTGAACTTCCGAGACTTGACGTAAACCTTCCACGAAATCGACTTAGGAGAAAAACAAAACATTTTGAATTTGGATGCAGAAGGAGATAACGATACTTAAGGATTTGAGAACTGGGGATTTGCATACTGGGGATTTGGGACACACTGGGGATTTGGGATACTTGGGATTTGGATACTTGGGTTTTGTTATTTGGGAACAGGGAATTTGGATGCTAGAATTTGGGTACTTGGGATAAACAATGGTCAGTGAATTATGGTCCAAGTTAGATGTACATAAAAATCTTATGTAAGATGCATTTTAATGTATACACAAACCTACGAAATGGCATCACCATCCAGTTTCACTGTCCATTACGAAAACTCTAAACGTAATAAAACACAATGAAGAAGTTGAGATAGAAGATATTCTGCTGAGAGAACATAACGCAAAGACAGTGCAGGAGTTCTTTAAAATTTATTTTCATGTTTATATTCAAGGTTCTCTGTTCTTCTACGGAACTTCGCTAAGGATGTAAAACGTCAGTCCAACAATAACAATAACAGTCCTACTCAGGACTCTGCTAACCTGGATAATGAACATCTTCGCGAGATGTCATCCATCATTTCTTGCTGTTACAAGCCCAACTCTACCTTGAAGACAATTTTAAGATTTCTGGCAGGGGAAGGGAAGAAGCAAGAAGAACGCTGGATGGGAGGGTGAATATTTAGTTTTAGCAGTGATTTGGTTTTAAAGCTATTTTTAATTGAAAAGAAATTAGTTGGTCACCAAGGATAATATGACCATATATATGAATACACCTCTCCCATTAAGTTCTAGCTTCGCCCTGGGGCGGAGATGGAGTCTAAAGACAATCCCCATAGCTATCATTAAAGTGGCGTTACCAGTCAACTGCGCTTGACAACACTTTTGTGCAGCGGTCTCCCCAGCTGGCTTCCTGTGAGCCAGCCACTTTCAGTCAGCGGCAACAGGCATCCGACCTTCATAGAAATACAAACAAAAGCGCAACGTTAATAGTTTGACGTTACAGCGTCAAACAATGTTATAAGCAACCTGAGGTTATATCGCCAAGGTGCTCTTGTTGTTTGCGATGAATGCTGTGGAATTCGTTAGTAACACCGCTGGACGCCGTGTGAAGGTATCGCGTTTTCACACCAGTACCGATAAGTTGAGCCAATTCAAGTTGGGAATGCATTTCAGTATCTAGAATGAAACAATGACTTTAGGGAAACGTAAAATATGCGCCGAGAGCGGAACGAGCATTTGAGCAACGAAAACGAGTGTTCAACAAGACGAACATAAACGTTAAATACATACGTATCTTCAAATAAAAATATCTTGAGAAAAAACTTCATTTTCTTATGTATATTTATTACAGAAGTACATTTGTGATACGATTCTCTGATGAAGGGTATGAAATACGGTCAACAAAGCACTTGGAAAAATGAAAGGTAAAGACTGTAGCAATATCGTGAAGATAAGACTACAGACAAGACCCTAGACTTTTCCTTTGATGAAAAACAATCGATCATATTTTCAGTCGTAGCCACCAACCATAATATATATGCAAGATGATTCTCTCTACCTCGAGGCAAGACTTCCGATGTAATTACCATCCGTTTGAGCGATGGTAAGAAGTGTCTTGATCGTCTCCATGTTCTTCGTTTCATTTCATGAATATGCGTGCCACTGGTCGCAGTAATTAAAGTGAACCTGGATAGAGCTTTTGACGAACATTTCTTTCCAACTACAATGTGAAAAGAGTTATTAGGAGTATCGAAAAATAGACAATGGTAAAGAATCTCCATTCATATTCCCTAACATCATTATAACTAGCTGTAATCATTGAAAAACTTTTAAGAAAAAGATTATTTCACATTCATGCATTCTGATATATCCATATATGTACACAAACAGACAAAAGAATTAATTCAAAGGTAAACAAACATCTGTTTTATTGTATACATATGGAGTATAATCTAAACCTTGAACATATAACGCACAAAGAACATGACGTGTATGTAACTACGTAAATATATTCATAAATTTCAACAATTCAACATTCAACATATTTTTTGAATACATATTTATGTCGAGAAAGGTCACCAGGTGATGAAAAGGTATGCAGAGACATTAATGTCGTTATTTCATACCCAAATATATAAAAAGAACACATTTTGTATGTTTATCAACTTACAGGCATGCTGAATATGCAAGATATTCTTATTGCACAGCGGATTCCATCAAGACAAAATAAAGCAACAGAAGAATCGTTGTATCTTGTAGATTGAAGCTGAACGCGGCAAGAAACGGACTCCATGCAACCTTAAACACACAAAACAAAATGGTTAACAATGGGGACTGAGCGGAGTTCTAGAAGCAGATTTAGCTTAAGTAGTGGATTATCTCAAAGAAAATTCAGTCAAATCATTCATTGCTCAGTTAATATATTAGATTATCAAACAGATTTACTCTTCGTCATCGCAAACATTTCATTACATAAAATCTAAGTCTTTTCTTTAACAAGATTAAGATGAATGTCATCATGTTTTGAAATCTACCCTTGTGCTTGCACTGTCCATATAAGTTGACATCACAATTCACGCTTCGTTAATCAATCCTTACATACACCACATAGATTATCCTCCAGACTCCACCTTTGAACATTGTCTTCACGTGACCAATCTGTCGCAGTGACGAAATCCGTCTGAATATGACTCACGTCTTCCATTTTGTTTTGGCGTTTTCCATCTGCTCCATTTCCATAGAATACAACATACGACGATGTTTCTCACTTTGCAAATCTGTAAAAGATGTATTATAATCAACGTCATGAAAATCGTCAAAAACCTGTATCCTAAATTATTGTTGATGTTAAATGAAAAAAAAAATTAACACATGGTTCATAGATTAACACTTAAATGATCATCACCTTGTCTAGTGTATCATCTGCATGTAAGAATTGAGCGACTTTGGTTGCTCGAAGGAGACCTTCAGATTGAAACAATTCCATACCTTTTGATGGATTCTTGTTAAAATCTTAAAGTAAATAGTAAAATTGAATAAAAGTACAAGATAAGCAAATTATTGACCAAACTTACAATTAAATTCCTTTCTCTGCGTCTCCTCTGTTTTAAGAGTCTCAAATTCTTTAAGCATTATCAATGGCTTTGTACTTCTGAGAACAAGTGACTACACCCCATTTTTGAGATTATAAATCACCGTGCTCCCCTGTTTTCTTCTCCTTTGGTGCTTCCTTTTCGAGATTGTTCATTGCACGATCAACCAGATCTGTCAAAATTTATATGGAAGAGATTAAACAGAAGTATTGAGGAATAACTATGATGATTTGAAGATCAATAAGGGATTGCATGGATCATTAGAGGTTAGCAGATCATTAACAGATAGCCTAGATTATCGGGAAGATAGTATAGATTATTGAGAGAGATAGACTAGAACATTGAGGGTAGCATGAGTCAATAATCAGTAACTATAAACATTAAGATTTAGCCTTGATCCACAGTGACACCAGCAAGGAAAAAGGATAACCAAGGGATAACTTAGATCCTGAGAGGTTAACTACAATTGTCGAACAACTAGTTATGATTAAGAACATTAGCGTGTGTATAAAGAAAATAATGGAGTACCTTAGATAAATAGGGATACAGAGTATAGAAAGATGGAATCTTGATGGAGACAAATTCTTCAGTGTAGCCGATATCAAAGAAAGTACAATGGATCATAAAGCGATAAGTTATCGAAATGTATAACAATATTAAGTTTATATTAAGCTACATGCGAGTTTCTTCAGTTTCATAAAGATGTTAAAACTCACCAAAATTATCGGCCTCCTGAGAACCAGGTTTAAAGTAAAGATCCTGCTCCATTCTACCATACATTTAAGAATAGAAAGCGAGACATTCCAGACCTTTGTACAAATACTGCGTTCTTGAACCTGGAAAATCATATAAAAACAAGATGACATTGATACTATTCATATAAAAGCGTGATAAAAGATGTATTATAATCAACATTGTCAGCACAAAAATTAGAGACATATTTCTACTCCTTTTCATGTTGATAGACTATGTCCCAGTTTTTCATAATAGACTACGTCTTAGTCCTTTTCGGTGGCATAGATGAACAAGAAAATGTGAGAACTAAACAGTTTGAAACATATTCATCAACTTACTGGTGTAAGCTCCTAATTCAATAGAGCTTGACATCCTTGGGCAACTTTAGACCAATCATTGATCAATCTTTGAAAGATATTCGACAAGCGAATTCACAGTCGTAATTTAAATATATATCAAACAGTCTGTGCTTCTGCAATAAGGACCACGAATGGACATTAATGGATAATATGAATGGATATTAATGTTGGTGGGAAGATAAAATAAAAAATTTAATTGTTGGTATGATAATTAGTAGTAAGGAAGAGTCACACCTCACCTCTTGCACACCCACGAAAAATTTAAACAAGAGGATTGTAAAGACTGAATATAGGATGGGATTTGGAAATAAAAGATGCTTAATTGTTGTACAGGGTTAAGCAAACGGAAGTGATATTTGGTAGAACTGGAGACAATGTTAGTGCAAGCTTTACACGAGAAAGTTGACAGTTTGCACCAGCTAGAGAAGTTCTCACTTACGTCTCAAGGTTTACATAAGCGAGTACAAACACAAAACATCTTTTAGTTCTTTTGTAAATAATAGTAATGCGAAACAGACAACTTCAAGAAAGTTTAAAATTTTTCTCTAACATGTATTCATGATTCATTTACAAATTATCTTTTGATTGATATAATTCATGTAGCTCCAGATACGCACGTTTGTACAGGCTAATGCAAACACAGTTTAAGTTGTTTTTCTCTGTTTAAGTTTTTATTAAGTAAATAGTGATGTCGGATGATGAATAGCTTTAGAACATTGTTTTGATGTCGATAAACATTCACGGTGTACATTAAAAAACAATGATTTTTATTAAACTTTCTGATAATCAGTAAAGTAATGATAATAATCATAAAATGCCATCAGTTCAATATTAGTTGTTTTATAAATACCTTGGTAGAAGCGTTCAAACTTTAGAGTTACTTGTCTTCTTTGCACAAAAACTTCAAGCAAAGTACTAATGATTAAATATGGTTTATTGCATTGAAACAAAAAGGAAAAGTTTCTCCATCAAATAAAAATGCAAATAACAAACTAGAAACAGGGAAACATTGAATGTCGTACTTCATTTAAGAAGATATAATATCTTTTAACAAAGGCTCCTTTGATGAGGTTATGACTCACTAGGTTAAATTAATTTCTCATTTGGCATTTTCCGTTTTTGTTAGTACTTTCAGTAATATATGTTAGTTAAGTTGCATGGGCTACAAACGTCATAACTTTGGTTAAAATGGTTGAACGAGAATACAGATTTTGTTCAGTGGTCTCCTTTGATTTTGGTAAAACCTTTGATTCAGTTTGAAATAACGTCACAGTTTAAAATTTTCTTTTCCAATTTGACTCCTGTTACTTGGTTCTCTGCTTTTTGTTGATGCTGTTTTTATGTTCTGTAATTACTTAGCGAGATTTTTTCTTTAAATTCAATGAACGCTTTTAAAATAGATTATTATGTTGTAATTTTTCTTTAGAAACTGAAATATTTTTAGTATCCATTTAAAAAAAATAACGAGTGAAAGCCAACTATTTACTTGCAGCACTTGGCCTCTTACATTGAGAACAAAAAATTGAAAGATTTAATCACAAAATCCTAGTTGAAACATGATTTTTTTATTTATCTTCAAATTGTAAAAATAGACCACCGTGATCCTTCATAATAGACCTTTTCAAGGTTATCGCAGCCATGTTGCAGGGGGTGCAAAAACATTGCGCGAGAAGCGCGCAGTCACGCATGGCGTCCATATAAATTACTAATAAATGCGCAAAATTACCCTTATACAATATACATATTGGCCATTTCTTTCAAAAATAT